TGCAATCGGAAATGGTGCTGTAAACTCCTGAAAGCTAGCAAGTTGAATGTATTTAATCAGTTAATGGGGTTTGTTTAGCTGAAAAAGAAGAATATTAAGTGGGGAATCTGATTGCTGCCTTTAACCACTTAATGCGTGCTTACAAAGAAGAGGAGAGTCAGACTCTTCAAGCTGCACAGTGGAAGGATGAGCAGAAATGGTTGCAGGCAGCATCAGGAAAACTCCTGTTAGCTGCCACAGGAGTTTTGACAGAATTTGGGATGCGGGGGCCCAGAGGGGCTGTGGGAGCTCCATCCCTGGAGCTGTTCTGGACTTGGGCGGACAGAGCCCCATGCAGCCTGAGCAAGGGTTGGACCAGATGGGCCTCCAGCGTCACTTCTAAGCTAAACTGTTCATATTTTGCTTCTTAAAAGGCAGTCATTTAAAATCTGGTTAAATGCCAGTTGTTTGTTCTTTTAAATGTTACTTTATCAACTCAGCTTTGTCAATGTGAAGCCAGGTGGCATTAATTTGAAAAGTAAGTGTCTTTTTAAAGTTTTTTTTGGTATTGCTGAGGTAAACTTCAGGAGGGTTATGGTTGGGTCAGAATTATTCACTTGCATATTTGCAGCAGAATTAATTTAAATGACTGAATGCTTTGGGAGAATAGAGTAAATCATCAGGTACATTATTTATTGCTAAGCCGTACCTTTATCTTCCTTTTTCCTCAGTGGTGTGGAAGATACTGTTGTATTCCTCAGTGCAGCTGTGCTCGAAATTGGTCTGTAAGTCCACAACCACCATCTTTTTTTTCTGGGCGTTACTAACGTTCTGTGCCCCCCCGGGGCTGCTCGCTCTCTTCACGGAGGGCAGGGAGGGGAGCTCCCGGCTGGTCGAGGCGTGTTGCCCTGCCGCGTGAAACCCGCCGGCTAGCTGCTTCTCGGACAGGTGCTTTTGGGGATGTTTTTTCCCTGATGCCCCCTGTCGGGGACAAGTTGTGTGTCGTCGTCCCCTCCCCGGTCCATTTATTTACCGATCACGCCTGTCCATTTCGCGCCCCGCCTCGACCTCAGCCCGGAGCCGTTGCCCGCCGCCCCCTCGCGCCGCGCCGGCAGGAGGCGCTCCGCGT